TGTTTTTTAAATATTTTCTACAATTCTTAACAAAATTTAATATTTTTTTTATTATTTTTAAATAAGTTTGTAAAAAGTTTAATAAGTTATGCAACCTAAACAATCCGACTTTTTTTCCGATAATGCTGAAACAAACAAGACTAAGCTACGGGATTCACATCCCTCAAAACTATCTCCTCCACCTCACGAGGAGGCTCCAGGTGAATAACCGTTCCATTCTTCCTCTAACCATAGCAGCAAGTCTGTCTGCAACCATATTAGCCTCCATGCGAGTAAACTGCACCCTCGTTTCCCACTCTCGAAGCAATAAACCCCTGATTCTCATAACAATTGCACAATCTGCTCCTTCTTGTGATGCAACATTGACAGTTTCAATAACAACCCTACAGTCATTTTCAACTTCTACCTTCTGAAACCCCATATTCCATGCGAGTAACAAGGTGTCATGGATAGCCCATAGTTTACACTCAAAGCAGTACATACGTCAATGCTTCGTGAGAAACCTCGAATCCAATTTTCATCAGAATCCCGGATCACCCCTCCCGTTGCATCCATTTCCAACGAAACTCCCACTGCACCGTCTGCATTTGCTTTCACCCAGCCTAGTTCAGGCTTCTTCCAGCAAGGTTCCTCTCGTTGTAAAATCCTGTTACCATTTCGACGCACCTCAGCCTCTAGGAAATCATTCCTTAACCGCAAGCAGTGAGTTAGGAAATCACCCCGATCTACATAATCTTGCTGAAATAGAACATCACAGTGACGCTTTCATATCTTTCAACATAAAATAACAAACAAGAAGTTCCAATTAAGGTTATTTACCGAAAAATCCCCTTGGCCTTGAGCATTCATTGAAAGCCATTCCTCACAATGCATCTCCATTAAAATACCGTAGTTTTTACAATTTAATCACCTGCGCCAGATTTCAAATGCAAAAGGACAACGACGTAATGCATGATTCATATCCTCCTCCTCCAGATGACATAAACCACACGCTGCCGAGTTTGCCATCTGTCTTCGATATCTTTCCTCATTAGTAAGCAACCTCCCATGTAAAGTCACCATCAAGAAAACTCGAAGCCATCGTGGACCATTTAATTTCCACACAAACTATTATTTGTTTGTACTGACACTACTCTATGGAGGTGTCAACGCCTTGTATGCTGACCGAGTTCAGAAAGTGTGGTTGTGTTCCCATCTCCACCTAGGAGCGTCATCACCAAAAGATTGTTGGGGTGGACAAATAGCAGCGATACAATCACAAATTCAAAAGGTAACACTGTTCTTAAAGAATTTCAATCCCATTGACCGAAAGGCATAACCATCACATTTACTGGTGTCGGTGGAAGAGGGTCACCATTTTGATAAAATGCTAAAAATGGTTTAGTGCCTTCAATCCAGTTATCATACCACATACAAGTCAATCCTTTCCACAAGGCATAACCATCACATTTACTGGTGTCTGTGGAAGAGGGTCACCATTTTGATAAAATGCTACAAATGGTTTAGTGCCATCAGTCCAGTTATCATACCACATACAAGTCAATCCTTTCCACAACCTTGAGCATCTTTGTCTAGATATAGAATCAGATATATGATCATTCCAACGATAATTACTTTTGAGCACCCACAACTTGTCCGATCCTTCAATCAATTGCATACCAATTTTCATTAGAAACACCTTATTTTGCCTATCTACGTCCTTCATGCCCAATCCACCATTTTGTACCGGAACTTTAATCGTATCCCATCGAACCAAATCCAAGCTATTCGATCCTTAGCATTCCATACAAATCTCCTTATCATTTTCTCTATAGTATCACATACCCCTTTTGGAAACCAGGTCACCTGCATAGCATATGAAGGAATCGCCTGAAGAACAAATTTAGCAAGAGTTATTCACCCTGCTAGCGATAAAGTTTTTGCTGCCCACCCGGATAGTCTCTGTTCTACTTTTTCCACAAGGCAACTAAATGTGGCCTTAGTCACTCTGCTATGCAACAAAGGAACTCCCAAATATTTGCCTAGGTCCTGTACAGCTTCAAATCCCAATCATTGAGCAATCAAGTTCTTCAAATTTCTATCACAATTTTTAAAGAATAATACCTTAGTTTTCTCTTCACTTACTCGATAGCCGAAGCTAGTGTATAAAAGTTCCATAGTTCCCCGTATAATCGTAGCTTGGTCGAGGGAGGCTTCTTAGAAAAGAATCAAATTGTCAGCAAAAAACAAATGCGATATTCCAGGGCCATTGCGAGATAGATGAATGTGCTTCTAGGCTCATTCTTCCTTATTTATTGCATGAGAGAGACGTTCCATACATAGGACAAATAAGTAAGGCGATAGTGGATCACCCTAACGGATTCCCCTTGTAGGATTAAAACTTTACGATACACTGCCATTCCGTAACACCTGTGTAGAAACTATAATAACAAACTTCATAGTCCATCTGATAAACTTGTTCGGAAGCCCCACTTCAACTAAAGTTTCCTCGATGAAGTCCCATTCTAGCCGATCATAAGGTTTCTCCAAGTCCACTTTATAGCCATCCAAGCCTTCAATCCGGACTTGATATTCATCGAGTGAATCACTTCTTGTACAAGAATTATGTTATCAGTTATGTTCCTCCCGGTACAAAGCTTGATTTATTAGGAGCCACCCAGTACAAAAAAACTACTTTAGGCGATTAACCAATAACTTGGTTATTATTTTATACGGTACCGTGCATAAACTTATAGGCCGGAACTGAGAAATTCTTCCCAGTACCTCAATCTTAGGAATCACCACCAACAAAGTCTTGTTTGCCCATTCATGGAGGATATCCTTCTCCAAAAAAATCAATCACGAATTGCAGCAAGCTTTTTTCCAAAATGCTCCAATTTTTTTTTTGAAAAAACACTTCCTGATATCCGTCTATTCCCAGAGCCTTAATGGGCTCCATCATGAAGACCGTTTAATGTACCACCTCAATACTCACCTCTCGGATCAGAGTTACTTCAAGCTGTCGAAACCACCTGAAATTGTACTAGGGGAAGCTGCTCGATTTGTAGAAGTGAATAATCTGTGGAAAAAATTAAAAACGAGTCTTTATAGCAAATCCTGGTCATCACACCATTGCCCATCATCCAGCTGTAGCATCTTGATAGAATTTCGTCGTCTTCTACTCAAAGTCACGGTGTGGAAATACTGATTATTACAATCACCGTTGGAACCCACTTGCTTCTAGATTTTTGGTACCAGAGGTGTTCTTTTTTCTCAAGTACCAAATCTAACTCTTTCTTGAGTTCTTCCTCTAGGTCCATAAGAAACGAGGATTCCGAATGCTCAAGGGCCTTTTCAATACCACGGATACGAGCCAGAACAAGAGTTTTCATTTTACCGATATGGCCAAAGACCTCCGTATTCCATTTGTGGCTATCTTCCTGCAAGTTTAAAAGATAATTGAAAATAGGAGCAGATTTATTCCAACACCTCTCCAAGAAATTCCCAAAATCAGGATGATCATTCCAAGATGCCACAAACCGAAACGGTCGATTCAAAGTTTTAGGCCCCACTTCCTCAGTCGTAAGAAAGGTAGGTCTATGATCCGACCCAACCTTCTGCAAATGAAAAACTTCCGCCTTACCAAACGTCTCCATCCATTTCTCATTGCACAGACATCAATCCAAGCATTGGTATAAATCGCCACGTTGCCAAGTGAAGTGTGGCCCATTGAACCCCATATCCACAATACCATAATCAAAAAGACAAATATTGATGAGAGAGCACACCCCTGACCTTCTACGAGAAACACCTTGTCATTTGCTAGAGCTAGCAATGGCGTTAAAATCCCCACCAAGAACCCAGGGAATGTTTGAATCCATGTCCAACCTGCTAATTTAATTCCAAACACGGCATCGTTTATAACCATTAGGAATGGCATACACAAATGTTATAAAGAATCTAGCATTATTCACCTTATCAACACAATATCCATGGATGAATTGATTCGACACTACAAGGATATCCATACAAATCATCACCTTCCACAGCACCCAAATGTCACCCGAAAATCCATTCGCCTCCACTCTAAATGAGGAGTTAAAGCATGCTTTTCAAATGAAATTATCGGCTTGATCCCCACTCACCCTTGGTTCCATAATAGCAACTTTATCCGGTTTCTTATTCTTCAAAACCAATCTGAAATATCGATTAAAAACAAGGCCCAACATGCCCTGTGTATTCCAAAATATTACTCTAACCATAGAAATAAATGAGAAAAAAACAAACCAACCAAAATCAGCATCTATGATCTGCCTCCTGCTCACTTTCGAAAGATGAATTTGCTCTCCAATACACCTTATCTTGTACTGTTTAGTGAGCATTATCCTCTCTTCTGTCTGAGCTTGAACCTACTTTGGTAAGCTCATTAGACAACTTATTCACCCAATCTGCAACTTTACTTGGTTGTAATCCCTCTCTCAAAGTGCTCTTACCCCTTTTTTCAACGCCCCTTTCAACGTCTTAATAGTACGTTGATTATTTCTTCTTGTCCCCAACAAATTTCGGCCATTCGTATCTTTAAGAATATTTTGATGTTTCTCATATGCAATTAATATTGAAAGTCCCAACCCTTTTATATTCAATTAATTGATACCGCCTTCGTTAGATAACATTTCTGAAGCTCTGAAGCTGCCAATCTTAAGCTTCCTTTGTTTAATAAGAAAGAGAGACTTGACTCGAATTTTCTCATCTGCAATTAATACCGCCGTATGCTTCCCCATTCCTAATTGGTCAGACTTGGATTCCGTCTTCATCGTTTCCACCACTGCCACCTCCATATTCTAATCTTGTTCCGGACGTTCACCTCACATGAGTTACCCTCTACCAATCCTTGGTTCGTCTGACCCACATTAGCCGATTCCACAACTTCCTTTTGTTTTTCCCTTATTATAATCAGGTTGGGAAACTGACTTTGTTTGCTTCCAACACTAGTTATGGCTTGTTGCACCCTTTTCGCTATGTTAATCACCGTTTTCCTTCCTTCCTTTTACCGTTTCTCTATACCCCCCTTTGTTCTGAGAAATATTTTGTTGGGCAATATTCTCTTCTACACTAGCTAGCGTCTCAAACCGAGAACCTCTACCAATGCCTTGATCCTCAACAGTGATTGAAACAGTAGAGTTCTTCTTTCCAGCAATAGTTTTTTGCTTCCGGCTTGCCACTTGCTTCCATGGTCCATAAGGCTCCTCTGGAGTGATGGACTCATTAGCAACTTTTGTGATGGCAGTACTAGCCCGGTCACTTCCACCATTGCAAAACTCTTTCACATAACCATACTTACCACATTGATAACATATAGTCGGTAGTCCTTCGTACTCCACAACTTGATACCTTCCATCAATCCTAATTCCAGGAATTAGAGGCCTTTCCAGGTTGACAACAATGGCGAGTCTCACAAAGCGACCGTGCTTCCCTTCCGTGGTATTGTAGTCTATTTTCACAATCTTCCCCAGAGCGCCTGCAATCACCCTAAATAGACTCTTCGTGTAATACTTGTAGGGAAATCTATAGGTAACTTAAACCATACAAAAATCGAGTTCGGATGTGTCGTAACCGGTTTTTGCCCGGGCACGAATTTTTTACTTGACGAGAAAATTGATTTGAATAAATGATTTTTGAAAATAATTTGAGAGTCGCCATCGGCCTTTTGGGTCAGGTAGGTCGAATACCTAATTATTTTTTTTAAAAGAGTTTTAAGAAAACATCAATTAAAAAATGAACTGATCTGCATTTATAACCAAAAATTCGTTCTTTTTAATAATAAAAAGGGATTCGTGGTCGGTTACGTTTAGGGAAGGATTAGCACCCCTACAACGCCCAAAATTGGTACTTTTTAATTATAAATCGTCTCTATTAACAAATTTCAAAATATATTTAATTTATAATCTTATTATTTCGAAATTATATAAAAAATATTTATTTATTTAAAAATATCGGAAAAGGACTTCTAGGTGCCTTAAGACAGTTCTTTTCTTTGATATTAATAAATATTAATTTACATAAAATTAAATAATATATTTTTTAATTTTAAAATACCAGAATAGGACATCCAGTTGTATTAAGACTGCCCTTTTCTTCGATATTGAAAAATAAATGTTAAAATAATTTTTTTTAAAATAAATATTTATTTATTATATATATATTTATGACTACATAATAAAAATATTTTAATATATAAACAAGTAAAATTAAAATAATAAAATTACAATTAAAACTATATATTTAAAAGCAATAAAATAAATAAATATATTTAAAATTATTGACTGAATTATAGTAAATTAAAATTAAAAACCTAATTCAATATTAATCAAAATTATAGGGATTAAACATGATATTTTCTTATTTATTAATTTAGTGACTAAAATAAACTTATCTAAAATTCGAAAATATCATATTAAAATAAATTAAAAATATAAACTCGGGTTTAAAATATTACTTATTAAAATTAAGGGGTTAAATATGTTATTTATCCTAAATGTATTATTTTAATACAAAGGACTAAAATAAATAAAATTAAAATTAAAGAACCGAATTAAAAGGATTATAAATTGATTTAGTGACTAAAATGTAAAGTTTACAAATTAGGCTGACTGCGGAAAGGATTTAACTATTGTTTAATTACACGAATAACCCTTCCCGAAACGGCGTCGTTTGGGAAGGGCTATTTAAGCCCCTAACCCGGCTGGCCCTTCGGGCCAGCTATCCCATTTTCCTTTTTTTTTCTCTCAAACAGAGAGAGAGCCAGAGTTCTCTTTGGCCTCTCTCTATCTTCCCTCACCAGAGGGAATCCGGCAGCCGTCTGCCGCCGACCACCGCCTCCGGTGGTCGGAAATTCCCCAAATTCACCTAAAATATAGATCTAAACACCCTAAGACCGAATCCGGCCTTTGTTTCCCCAAAAAGACTCCTAATCGGAGTAAATATATGAAAATACCTTCGGTATTTTCTGTTCTCCGGCGATGTTTAGTGCTTCCGGCGATGGTCAAGGCTTCTTTGGTAGGCTTCTTTCCTTTCTTTTCTTTTATTTTTGGTTGCTGTGTTGTGGATTTCGTTTTTTTTTCTTTGTTTTTGCTGGTCTCCCTCTGTTGTTCCCTCTCTTTGTTCGCAGATGGGGTGATGGCTTTATAGCCATCACCGGCGCTCGTCTCGGACCGGTCCGAAGGGTGGAGTTCGGTGAGTCACCGAACTCCCAGTGGTGACTCACCGTTGGGATGACAGGTGTGCGACCGGAGTGGCGGCGAGGCTGAAGCAACGCCGCGTGGTCTTCTGGAATCTACGGCGGCGCTGGGACGTGTCCCTAGGGTATTGATACCCTAGGGTTTCCTCTGGCAAACTGTGGACTGTTGGATCAAACCAGATCCAACGGCTGAAATTGAGCGGCGGCAGATGGATAGAAAACCCTAATTGGGTTTTAGGGTTTCTGATTTGGGCCAGTTGGGTCCTTTGTAATTGGGCCGGTCCAATCTGGGCCTGTTTGTAATATTAATAAATAATATATATTAATAATAATAATTATTATAATAATAATAATTATTATAATAATACTAATAATAATAATAATAAAATGAGTAAAAAAATTTAGTATCTTCAGCTTCCCCTCTTTGCTCATTCTTGTGTTAACAAGAATAGGGAAAAGACGAAAAGATAAAAAAATAATTTTATCCATTTGGCTTCACTTGATAGCAATGTTGAATAAATTCTTCTCTTTCTTCAGATGAGTTCTTCTCATTATGAACTTTCCGCTGGGGATGATGTTGACATATTTCCTTCTGTGATAGAGTCATTCCAAAGGTTGAATAAGCTCTTCTCATTATGAACTTCTTCTTTCTTTTTCAGATGAATTCTTCTCATTATGAACTTCTTCTTCTTCAGATGAGTTCTTCTTATTATGAACTTCTCTGGAAAAGCTGATCCATCGAATGATGGATTTGAGCATAAGGTTGAACAAGCTCTTCTCATTATGAACTTCTTATTCCTTCTTCAGATGAGTTCTTCTCATTATGAACTTCTTCTGGAAAAGTTGATCCATCAAGTGATGGATTTGAGCATAAGGTTGAACAAATTCTTCTCATTATGAATTTCTTCTTCCTCCTTCAGATGAGTTCTTCTCATTATGAACTTTCTCTGGAAAAGCTGATCCATCAAGTGATGGATTTGAGCATAAGGTTGAACAAATTCTTCTCATTATGAATTTCTTCTTCCTCCTTCAGATGAGTTCTTCTCATTATGAACTTCTTCTGGAAAAGTTGATCCATCAAGTGATGGATTTGAGCATAAGGTTGAACAAATTCTTCTCATTATGAATTTCTTCTTCCTCCTTCAGATGAGTTCTTCTCATTATGAACTTTCTCTGGAAAAGCTGATCCATCAAGTGATGGATTTGAGCATAAGGTTGAACAAATTCTTCTCATTATGAATTTCTTCTTCCTCCTTCAGATGAGTTCTTCTCATTATGAACTTTCTCTGGAAAAGCTGATCCATCGAGTGATGGATTTAAATCTTTGCTAAAATCTTTGAAATTCCTGTCAAAATTCAACATGGATGAGAATGAATGAAAATGCACCTATTTTTGCAAATGCCTAAATATGATGCATGATTGTTAAGTTATTTGATTTCAGATTAGTGAGCTGAATATTTCTTCAGTTGTAGAAACCCAATAAATCTTTCTTCTTCAAATCAGAGAATCTATCATCTTTGACAAATGTAGATGTAGATATAATGTCACAAAACCTATTGAGAATAAAACTCAATAGTATAGGCTCTTGAAAAGCTTGCATTCATGCAACATGTTAATTCTGATAACAACTCATCTGATTATGAAGTGATCTTTCAAGATGATTTCATAGATATCGATAGTTCTTTTAATACCAAGAAATCTTGAATTCTGATTCTGATGAGGAGAATAAACTGTTATACTTGACAAAAATGGGATTCTCAGAGGATGAAGCTTCAATAGCCATGGAGAGATGTGGTCCATATTCATCAATTGCAAAATTGATAGATTTTATATGTGCTGCTCAAATGACTAAGGATGCTGACGCACTTCTTTCGGTAAAAGATGAGAATCCATTATGTGATGATCCCAATTACAAGAAAAGGTGAAACTTGTGCTATGATTTTTGGGAAAGGAATAAGCAAAAGAAGCTTGAAAAGAAACTTCTTAATGAAGACGATCATGCAATTCATCTTTTTATTCCAATGATTGTTTCTGGGTTTTATATCAAACCAAATCAGAGAATTCAAAGAACATTTCCAGAAGATGCTATTGGGTCTCCTTATTTCTACTATGAGCAAATTCATCTTTCAAATTTAATGATTGGTTCTGTGGTTTCATATCAAACAAGATCAGATAACTCAAAGAACACTTCCAGAAGATGTTATTAGCACATTCCTCTTCCAAATTCAATAACTGGTTTTACCAAACCAGATCAGATAACTCAAAGAACACTTCCAGAAGATGTTATTAGCACATTCCTCTTCCAAATTCAATAACTGGTTTTACCAAACCAGATCAGATAACTCAAAGAACACTTCCAGAAGATGCTATGAGCACATTCATCTTTCAAATTCAATGATTGGTTTTACCAAACCAGGTCAGATAAATCAAAGAACACTTCCAGAAGATGCTATGAGTACATTGCATTTGTTCCAGTTAATGTTTGGACTGGGATATCACAGTACTTATTAGATGTAAAGCCAGAATTTGTAGATTCGAAGCATTTTCATGCTACTACACTGAAAAGGGCTATATTCATAATTCTGCCAATTAAGAACAGATTTTCTCTTTATTCTGCTTCCTCCATGTGCTGATGCTTTTCCATTGACAAAGAAATGATGGCCTTCCTGGGATCCAAGAACAAAGTTGAACTGTTTATAAACATGTACAGGAAGTGCCAAATTAACAGAAAGGATCTGTAAGGATCTTGAAGCTTATGACAATTAGCCATATTCGAGTGTTCAGAAGTATGTTCTTGATGAGTGCTGAAAATGGAATCTAGTATGGGTTGGAAGGAATCAAGTTGCTCTACTTGAACCTGATGAGGTGGAAATGCTTCTAGGTTTCTCTAAAACTCAGATGCATGTTCCATGGTGGTATCAATGTCCTGTCCCTTTTCTCTAGGATCAATGATGCAGAAGTTGCCTTTTACTGTCTTGGCATACTTTTGAAAGCAGATGTGCAAGAACTGAATGATGATCGATTGGAGCAATTGATGAGTAGATTTGGCGGATTCGACCTTGTTGTCTGTTGTATCTAGCATAACAACATTATTGTTCATGGCTTTAAGATGGTGATGATTTGCTTACTTTGTATTCCATGTATTTAAAAGTATTAACATAAAGTGATATTCAGAAATCTTTAACTTATTTCAAAATTATGTTAATTCATAGAAGAATAAATTGAATTTTCGAAAATAAATTGAATCTCAAATAAATTGAACTTGAAATAGATAGAATTGTATTCAAAGTTATGGCAAGCATAAGAATGATAAAAATTCAAATGTCCC